TTTTTTTGTTTTAGTATTTTGAAGTTGACCAATTGTTACTATAAGCAATTAATGATTATAGATGATCTGCACCGTATATCAATTCTAGAATGATTTACAGTCACTCCTCGAAATTTAATTGGCCTTTGACGATCTTTCCTGCAAACAAATAGTGACGTTTTTGTAAAGCCCAAAGAAGGTAAACATACATCATACAACAGTACCATATTTTTATAATACCAATAGGCTCGCCTAAATACACAGTTTAATAATCCACAAAGGTTTACATATTAGGCTTTTTCAATAAGAGACATATTTTGGCTTGGATTTTCAATTATTTATTATTTTTTTTATTCTTTTCATGTATAGAAATTATTCAAATGTCAAATAAAGACAATCAACCCAAACTTTGCCATGTTTGTTTAAAGACATATTTGATAAATATTCATTACAACTGTGTAAAACTGATTTACAAACATGGAGGCGCACATCTGCAGTTGAAAGAGTAAATAAGTAAAACGAACCAAATAACCCACCATCATAGCAATTTTACTACAGAGTCTTATTCCAAGTATTTCCTTTATTAAATAATTGTTTAGGAAATTATTCATTATTTTAAATTCAGATCTATTATCTCTAGGTAAAAATATTAAAATAATTCATTATGGCAAATGTGACTGAATGACTATATTAATATAGTCAACCAGAATTAGACTTAAGGTTGTGGGCAAAATCCCTCCAGAAATCATCAATGGAGTTTTGACAGATTATACATTAATTATTTATTAGAGTTTCGGCAGAGTTTTGCATTTTGGGGTTTTGTCAATTGTCAGAGTTTTGACAAGGTATATACTAATTGTTTATTAGAGTTTCGACAGAGTTTCGACAGTCACTAAGAGGTTTCAGCAAGCAACCTTAATTAGACTACTAAATTCTTATTAACAATATATAGTTGCCTAAATTTACAATTACTTTTAAAATAATAATTTTTTTACTTATATATTAAATTTATATATTTAATTGTTTTATGAAATATTGTTCTATTTTTATATAAATATATTTTTATGTATATATTCAATCAATAGGTAAAGTGAATAATTTTAGTTATAATATATTAATCAATTATTTTTATTATCAATCCTTTTAGAAAATTTTTGAATTTGTATACAATATTAAAATTATCTATCAGGATAATATCTTATATATTTAAACATAAAAATAGCATCTATATATTCTTAATCCTATAATTTGGAAGTTGTATGACTAGTTAACAAAGCTCTCACCATGTTTTTCTTAGCTTTCTTTTCCTTTATATTGATTTTTTTTTATTCAACAAAAAGGATTTGCCTAAATTTTACCCAATCAATTTTCTTCTAAATTTTTTTCTAAAAGTTTAGTTGACTCCAACCTCTAACTTCACACAGTCTTTTCAGCTGATTTTGTATGGTAATGGCCAGGATCAGGACTGGAAATAAGGTGTTAATCCCTTGCTTTGCACACCAAGTGAATTTATGCATTGGTAAAATATTCAAGGAATCATACAGGATGAAGCTTGTTGCAAAAGATGCAGTAGTTATAGTAAGTTATTTTAATAATGTTAACCATGAATATTGGATGAAAAGGCTTCATGATGAACAAATGGGTTTGTATAGGAATACATATGGTTTAGTATCACCAAATGATACCAAGTGGAACTCAAATTATGTTTGTTATGTAAGTTTGTTGAGATCCAAAGGAGCTTTGAAGGTTGATTTTGTTTCTGTTCATTAATAGTTTATTTAATTCATGATCAATATTTTTAACAAAGTTTTTTTTAATTTAATTGACAACAAGACATTAGTAACCAAATATCAAGCCATGAGAAATTTGAGAACTAATGAAAGATCCCTTGTATTTTCTGATGATTTGTGTTGAATTATTATTGATGAAGGTGTAAAAGAACTTAAAGATCTTATGAAACTTTTTGTAAGATGTTTGGATAAATTACAGGTGGATAAGGCACAATTACATGATGTTATATTGTCAATTAAAGTCATCATGATCAAGAGTTTGCAGCTCATATGATAAATAGAATTGAAAAAAAATAGAATAGTTGGGACTAAAGCTCCGAATAAGCTAAGCTGGCTCAAGCTGAAGCTCGAAATTTTGAGTTCAAGTCAAGCTCAAGCCAAGAAATAATAGGCTTGAGTTTTGAGCCAAGCTCGAGCCAGGCTTGAGTTTGATGCCATATAATTTTTTTTTAAAGTAATGAACGATTAATTTTATTTATGCGCATTACCTAAAAAAACAATTTAAGAGTCTATTTTCTTGAACTCAGCTCGAACTTGAAAATTCAAATTTTAACTAGAGGTCACTCAACTTAAGTAATAAAGCAAATAAAATGAATGATTCAAATACACGAATAATATGAATGATTTGAATAAACGAATAAAACAAATGATTTGAATAAATGAATAAAACAAATGATTTAAATAAACGAATAAAATGAATGATTTGAATAAACATATAAAATGAATGATTTGAATGATTTGGATAAATGAATAAAACAAATGATTTGAATAAACGAATAAAACAAATGATTTGAATGATTTGAATAATTCAAATAAAATAAAAATGAATAATTCAAATAAATGCATAAATGAATAAAATAAACTAATAAAACTAATAATTCAAATTAATTGAGTTGTATTACTATTACTATTATGAATAATTCAAATGAGGACTTGTATTACGAATAGGAATTCTAGCTGATAATAAAGATTTTTTAAACAGGTTGCATTTCGTTTTAATTCTCTACAAATATTTGAGCAAACATTATAAAATTTATACAGTTGTTTCAACAAATTATAATTAAATTCACATTACTATGAATTTTTAAAACATAAAATTCATTAAACCGTGATTAGTAATTTTAGTATAATGCAATTTCTTGTGCATATATTCCAGAACCTAAAAAGCATTGATCTCATTTTAAATTTTTGGAATTTTTTGGTCTGTCATAAAATTATTTATGATGATTCAAATGTTCTAAGCTTATACAATTATTATAGTTTATTATTGCTTCAATTATTTTCAGTGTTTTGCAAAATCGTGATTTTATATTAAATTTCGAGTTGGCTCAAGTTTTCAAGCTCAAGCTGAGTTCGAGTTAGCACTTTTCTATATGTGAGCTGGCTCAAACTTGCATACTCAAGCTCGAGTCGAGCTTGAGCTAAGCATAAACTCAGCTTGGCTTGGCTCATTTGGAGCTTTAGTTTGGACATCAGGAAATTTTCTCCACTGTAATATTTACCCTCAATGTAGTAATTGCATAATTTTTGTATGATTTTTGCATAATATTACAGGTCCATCATAAATAAGGTTTCTGGTCCAAACTGTTTTCTCAAAGCCCAAACTAGTTTGGGCAATTTGGGCTTCTCAACATTTTCTATAAGCATGAACATTAAAAAACTATATGAATCAACTTGTTTTAACTTAAACAACTTTAAAATAATTTCGCCCAATTTCGGCTAATAACAAAAAAGTAGTTTGGGCTTATAAAAAAATAATTTTTGCACAAAGTATTTGGGCAATTTCGGCTACTAATAGAAGCAGTTTCGACCAGAAACCTTAATCATAAACTTATGTAAATAGTGTAATAATTATGTAAATCTGCATCAGAAAAAATTTCCTGATGGAGCAGACTTTATTGATTAATTCAATTTTCCTTCATCCTACTTTAAAGAATACAATATTTAGTGATTCAATTCCAAATTTGATTTGGGTTGATTTAGGAAGATGGGTTGCCTACTATTATTATATTGTATGGTTTTAAAAAGAGGCTATATTTATTATTAGAAATTGAAAATTTCAGAAGAAAAAATATCCATACTATTCTATGCTTTTCAGAGGTTTTAAACAATTTTGGAGTTATTTTTTTACACATGCAACAGAATTAGGACCAGTTTCAATTAGGCTTTATAGAATTTGCACAATCCTGCTTCTGTAGAGCAATTGTGGTCATTGATGGGATTCTTACATAACATAAGGAGGAATAAATTAAAGGTAAGGCTCCGAACGAATCGATTCGAATTCAAAAAAACAGGATTCGATTTCGTGACTCGATTCGAATTGATTCGAATCAAACTGGATTCCTAAAATTTTTTTAACGTCATATTAAATTTATATTACACGGTGAATCTCAATTAGTGTGTGCCTCCATTTAATGAATACTAATGGATTGAGGGCTAAGAATGGTTTAATAATAATGAGTAAAAAAGCTGTACAATTCATTAAATCTAAAATAATGCTTCTTCAACTTCTTCAATTTCTTCAACAAGAGATGCAATTATTGCTCCAGGTAAAAATTTTTTTTTGAATTTTACAATATTTATACTATATAAATAAATATAAAATAAAAAATATTTTTGTAAATAAAATTATAAAATATACATTAAAATAAAGATTTTTCGAATTGTATCAAATTATATATTCGAATCCGTTCGAATCGAATCAAATCAATTCGAATTCGAATTCGAATCCGTTCGAATCAAATTATATATTCGAATCTGTTTGAATCGAATCGAATCAAATTATATATTCGAATCTGTTCGAATCCGTTCGAATTAAATTATATATTCGATTCGAATTCGATTCGGTTCGAATTGGTTCGAATTTCATTGATTCGTTCGGAGCCTTAATTAAAGGTTACTGTCTATACTTATTACATTGTGTTGACCAGCTGAGCCAACAGAATTCTGATATTTTATAAATTTTTTTAGCTTCAAAAGGTCTTAACCATAGCACAACTGAGAGAAACTAATCATTTCAATACTAAACAAGAAAAGAAAAAGACCTCACCATACATCATTGCCATTCCATCAGATGAAAATGATGATTGCACCATTTTGGGTAATAATGATATTTAAATAAAGTTAGTATTTTTATCTTATTCTTTTTTAATAAATAATAAATACACTAAAATCCATACCCAGCAGTCTTTTTTTATTTGGAGTAGAAAAATTTTGTACATTATTTATTTCTTTAGATGATATATTAATAGAAACTCTGCCATCATTATAAAATTCACTTTCAATTGTAGTTTCTGTATCAGTACCAGTGAACCAATTTAATCACTCCTCCTCATTTGAGAAGTTAATTCAAAAAAATTTACAATTCAACAAATGTTTTTTTAGTTAAAGTTTTTCAATTCATTGATATTTATATTAGATTGAGTGCTCTTACAAGCAATAAGCAGAATAAAGCTAATCGTCTTCATTGTTTGATCAAACAAGTCTCTTGACAAAAAGGGAGAAAAATCAAAGTAATTTGTGATTGGGATGAAATTATTATGCCAACTAGATTACCAGAAATTCATGATTTTGGTAAACTTGACACCCTTTTGCAGACTGGTTCAAGAAATTCTGGGAAAATATTGTTGTTGAGCCAAATGAAAATGGTGTTTCTTATAAAACAATTGGGCATCCCAAACAGAATAACACAAGGAGATAGACAAAATTTTCAAACTGTACTTTTCAGCAATAGATATAAAAATAAACCAAAAAATGTGCGCATATATAAAACAAGCACTCAGCTATATTGGAAAGATAGTTTAGAATCCCTTCGAAAAGGTACATACATAGCAATATCATATCCAGCGCCATCTCCTTATCGATCACCTGAGCTTATAGGAAAAACTAAAGATCAAGTAGAAAATAGCAAAGTTAACCTATATGGTATAAGGAAGGAGAGAGAAGCTTATAAAGACAGAGAAGCAATAATGTAATGGCTGTGAATAAAAAAGATCAACAATTTGAATATATTTATTAAACTCCTAAAACTCAATAGACTCAAAGAATATATTATTACATCAATATAAGGCTTAATGAAGCAAAAAATCAAAGCCGATAAAGAACATGATGGCAAAGCAAAATGATAGATTATAAATTTGATCTCATGTTTTCATATTCATATGAAGATGAAGCCAACAAATATTATGAACTATATTGACGTTAGAAGATAATTCTGAAAGAGCCGAATTAACCAAAGTTATGAATGAAAAGGCAATATAAACTAATGTTGAACTTGAAAACTAGTCCTTATTAAATGAACAAAAGTATCGATTTGGTTGTCTTTACATTATAAAATCTTTTCACACGTTAACGATATCAAGATAAATAAATTAAATACAATTTTATCAGATAGATATACGAAATGTCAGAAATTAGGTCACTCATACAGTGACTTCCATAATTATTGCACCACTTGACTTAAAATTTTCAAATTGTAAAATTTTACAATGTAGAAATCATACAATTAATAAATTTATATCAATTAGAAATTTATGACTTCTTCAATAATATATTTAAATTTGACTGATGGTTTATTTGTGTTTTTTCGAGAAATTTCCATTCAAGTGTTTTTTTTATGGTGCAATACTTTTGGCAACCCTAAATGGAAATGATTA